GTGGTCATAATGGGTCGATGTGGTCGACAGCCATAGGCGCCTTTACGTGCCAGCGGCCCGACCACGTTGTAGCCGCGTCCTTCGCAATTCAGCATCCCAGCTGCGAGTAAGGATGATTAGCCCCAAAATGATTAATTATTATATTTCAAGAATCCGTGGGGGAAATGAAACGAGTGGACTACACCATCGTCTTAGTAATATTTACTGCTCTTGTTCAATTATTGAAAGATAAATAACTATTGGTATCAGTTTTGTTGCCCCCTCCTATTTTCAACCCCTAACCCCCTCGACACACATCACACACATCTGTACGGTACCGGGCTTATACAGAAATACAATTTAATTCACTGAATCGTTGCAAATATTTTTTAATATCAAATTGACTAGAATTGTTAATATTAATCACTGATTTAAGTGCTTAATAAGACATTTGTTGACAAGAGCCAGATTGGTATTTGCTTGTTCACTTCGACGACAAACGATTTTTTTAAAAACTTTTTTTGTTAGTAAATATTCAAAATGTCTTTGCAATTCTACTTTCCGGAGAATTCGATTTCATTCTTCCAGAGTGTATTGCAAGAGGCATGTATGTCCCACATTATAAAAAAAACTAGAGTTTTCAAAACTTTGGTTTTTTTAGAATTTATATTTTATATATATCACATGATATTACTAAATTAGTTAAGCAGTTAAACAAAGACATATTATGAAATGAAAATGCACTTAACAATTAACTACACCTTTTGTTCAATAAAATAATTATTTGCAATAGAATTATAACTACGTTTTTAACAATGATCTGATAGTGTCCCATTAGCAACTAAAACTGCATTAAATCGTTAACAATCATTTCATCAGAATTAAACTCTAAGGCCAAACTTTTAACACGTTAAAAATCCAATGAAAATAATTTGGCACACACGAAAAAAACACAATAATGACATCTAAGCGTCATTGATCCACTTTGGTGCAATTCAAACTCTTTTCTTTTTTTTTTCTTTTTTTTTTCTTCTTTTAGAAAGAAAACAAATCCTTCCGAGGATTAATAAATGATACTGCATTGGGCGTGTCTCCGCCGGGGTGTCTCTTATCCGGGGTAGCGTGAATTTAGGACCCTATGAAATACAGACTTATTAATATTATCATGAGTGCGTGTCTAGGTGGTGATAATTAGTAGAGTGACCGCTCACGCGAGAGAGTTTAACCAATAATAGGGTGCTAGTAAGTCCATCACATTAATGTTTGTAGAAGACATAATTATGTGAGTTCTAAATCAGCAAAGTCTTCATTCAAATTTTAGTCCCAATTTCTCACCCTCGCTTATTCAAAAATACAAAACTTTCTTTCAAATGCACTTAAACACGGGCAAGCGTTTTCGCACCCGGTTGAGTTGAGCGAAAATATAAAAATGTTTCAGGGTATCTTCATTACCCGCATAACAAGTGTGCAATCTAGGTAACTTGTACATTGAATTCAATTTGGTAAATACGTTTACCAAAGTAAGACATTTCAACTTATACTAGGGTAAAGGTGTTATAAGTTCTCAAAGGAGTCTGATTTTCATATGAAAGCGGGAACAAGCCTTTTTTTCTTCAATGAAGTTTGGATGAGAGAAATTTATTGCGAATCAGTATTAACCTGAGTGTCTGAGGAGCAGCACCATGGCCAGCTCAGGAAATGGGGGAGAAGGAGGGGTCACATTACCAGCTGGGGGAGGGGGGGGGGCACACCACAAGAAAACACACAATTGCAGATAATGGTTTTACACTTGTGGTTTTTGCCAATGGGGGCTTGGCAGTTGCTCGCTGTGTGGAGACCACTATTTATGAGGCGCCCCCTCTATTGATGGAAACTTAACACTAGTTTTATTTAGCGCGCCCTTTCTCGAACTAAACTTTCATTAGTTGTTCGACGGTTTCTCGCGAAATAGAATCTCCTTATGAGTAATAAATCAAGACCAATTACTGGCCGAACTTACAACTTAAAACATCTGGGCCTGGTAGGCTCGGGTTATTGCCCGGCCCCCCAAAAAACCAGTGTGTTATATTTCTTGGACGTTGACTTTTTGTTTTCATTCGGTTTGTATTTTTCGCGTTTAAGATACTATATTTGTTTCGGTCAAACATGTATTAATGTTTCATTGGTTGACAGTTTCCCCATAACATTAAATCTCATAATGTTACGCAGTCATGACAAATCACTGGACGAAATTTTAATTTTGAAATACAGAATTAACTCGTTTTGGGGGCAACAACTTAAGAAATACTACATGTGTTCAATTAAAATTTCAAACACCATGCGTTGGAGATCTACAGTCATGAGTATTACTAGAAAAAAAGAAAAATTGGGAAGTGCGTGAAGTTATCACTTATGTCTTTGGGAGTCGATGTACAGGTCTTGGGGTGCAGCCCTGTATTAAAATTCCCATAGACACCAGTGCTAAATGCCCATGCTTCAAAATTCCTGGATAAAATACTCAGAACTCTCACAGGTATAGTTGCACAGAAAAAAAGGTAATCAACATGTCATCTTTTATTTTATTTTCATTTTTTTTACCATTGCCTTTACGAGATATTTTCACCCAAAGAAGGCGACCCCTATTTTTTTCCCAAAGTGAACAGTAGCCATCTTCAAAAACGATCCCTGCACAACATGACACAATAGCGCCACTTTCGAGGCCAATTGCATCCAAAATGCTCAGAATTGGAAGCCCCAAGTCCGGGCCAGAGGGTTCATTGCCTTATCTCTTCATATCCCCAATTGTATGGCTCTCAGAACTCTCTAATATAGAATATTTTGAGTGTATAACTTTCTTTCAAGGACTTGGCGGATGGGTTTAAGCCTATTTACCGGTGTGCACCCTTTACCATCCTGCATGGGCGGGATTTTGTTTTTCTCCCAAACGCCATCCGCATAATTGGTGTACGCTATGGCGTTTTGGAATTAACTTTTCTAAAAACTTGAGAAAAAAATATAAATTAGAAAAAAAAGAAATGAATTCGGACGTAATGAAATTCGGACTTTCGGACTATTTCCCTTCAGATTTGTTATGCCGATGAACCCCTTTGCGAAAATCCCGCCCCTGCACACATCCATTCCCCCCCCCCCCCCCATATGCACGTGGCGATGACACTGGCCCTAATATACCCGGCGTTGTAAGATGAGCGTATGAGGAAATCGTACAGCTTTCACCCTATTCAGCCTCTCTCACCAATGCTCTCCCTCTCATTCTCACCCATCTCCCATTAATCTTCGAAACGCAACCACCTTATCTCTATCACCCTTCAAACCCAAGCCAACCTGAACACCCTGCCCTTCACAGGCGGATGCAGAACAACACTGTCGGTGGGCTTCCGGTTGTGTTGGGGAGGGGGGGGGGGCAAAGATACATGGGCCTGACATCCAGCATTTTTCATTTCTCATTTTGTTCTGTCTACATGTTTTAGCATTTTAAGAATCCGTGGGGTAAGTGGGATAAGTAGACCACACCATCGTCTTAATGCCATTCATTGTTCTTCATGAATTATTGAAAGATAAGTAACAATCGGCATCATATTTTGCTCCCCGCCCCTCATCATCAATCCCTAACCCCCTCGATACCACTAATCATTCATCCTCCACCCCATCCATCCTCAACCAATGTTAACCCGGCCTTTCATTAACACCGATCCCCAAATCTAAAAGTCAAAACAAACAAAAATGGGAAAAAAATACAGGTAATGAACTGACTCTGTTTGCAATAATTTGTAATATCAAAGGGAATAAAATTGTTATCTATAATCACAGATTTAAGTTCTTGATAAGAAATTGTTTTGTTCGTAAAAGTCAGACTATGATTTGCTCGTTCATTTCAACGACAATATTTCTCTGTAAGTTTACTTTATTGAGAGGAATTCGATGGAATGTATTACGATTGGGACAAGGTTTTTCACATTGTTAAAAGCTAAATGTTCAATTAAAGTAATGTTCAAAATACACTTTTTGAGTAGTTATATTCTATACTGATTACATGTTATATGATTAATTTCTGTGCTTAAATTAGTTAAGCTGTTAAACGGAACACATCCTAAAATGTATACTTGGAAAAAAAATGTTTCTTAGAATCAAATATAATAGAATAATAATTGCGTAATCTGCTGATATAGTGTCACATTATCAACTCAATTACATTAAATCGTAAACAATTTCATCATAGTGAAAGCTCTCAAACTCAACTTTTAACATGAAACAAAAACTCAATTATACATGTATAACATGGGATACAAAATAAAGTGTTTAACACAAGTTAAGAGTTCTTGGTTCACTGTGGCGCAATTTGAAACTCTTGGTTTTTTTTTTCAAAATAAAAAAGTTTCCGAGGGTAAATAAAATAATGATATCACCAGACTTCATTTAAACTCTGGCTTTATACGGTATGCGAAATGCAAATGAAAAAAAAAACACCAATATATGTTAACAACAACAATATATTTTAATACATGCAATGCATTTGTTACTTCCCAGACAGACTATTGTAACGGTTTATGTTTTTCATACGATTATCAGTTTAAGAAATAAAAACATATATGCAGAAGGAAGGGTCGTACGCACATGCTTCAGGAACTACGTTGGCTCTCGGTTACGGTGCGGAATGAATTCAAGATTCTTTGGTAATTTTCAAACTTATCCGCCATGGTGGGGCAGCGCTACGGTACTCCACAGAGTAAATATCAGTTCATGCGTTTAACATTCGCACTAAAAGCTGTGATGGGGTTCAATTTAACCTTCCTCAAGTTCGTCCAAAGCCTGGCAAGGCATACGGTGACCGTGCAGACTTCCACGTTATTTGAGCAAAAAATAATGAATTTGAAGTGTTTTTCAATCGCACCTAAAACCTTCTTTTTCAAAAGTCATTTATTTGACCTGCAGTTTTGATTCTTGAATGTAAAATGCTTTGTATTAAGAATCAATTATCTTTCTTATTATTATGACATTGAACATTTTACTGTTTTGGCAAAAAGGAAAGCGAAACTAAAAAAATGCAGCACTGCTCCTGTATATTTATGCGTTGTGATTTTATTTTATTTATTTAATTATACATTTATACGGAGAAAAGGAGGAAGCCACTGAACGAGGTGTAGTGAGAGGTGGAAGCACTATGCACCCTACCGGCCATTGTAAGATACACCGTGTCTCCTCGCTGCAGGACCATTACCGCGCTCCCAGACAACTGACCTTGTTGATTTGATGGACCAAAGGTAGTTATCACCCTGTAGTCGTTTTTAACAAGATTGATGAAAAGGGTTTCGCTGTTGCTATACTTAAGAACAGAAAACGTAAATACGTATGTGCCCGGCACACTACAGGTGAACGTGCCGGTCTCGAGATCGAAACTGGTACCCGGCAGAAGCGTCTCGGTCTGCTGGAATGACAAACGGGTGTCGGAACTTGTAGATTCATCCGAGCTGCTCGTCCTCACCACGGTGAATGCCACCCGCTGGTTGGAGTCGTCTGGTGTCTCCCCTGGCTCACCCTTCTGACCTTTGACACCAGTTTCCCCGGTTGTTCCAACTAAACCCGGGGAACCTCTCGGACCTATTTTGCCAGGCAGGCCAATCCCATCATCACCTTTAGACCCAGTGTTCCCAGGTGCTCCCCCCTCACCCATAGGGCCAATATGTCCAATATCACCTTTTTGACCTGCATCGCCTTTTGACCCCGGCTGACCGTATGGCCCCATCGGTCCTACTGGCCCAGGCAGACCTGGTATGCCGGGTATTACAGCAGGTCCCTGGCAGCACTGCTGACACACCTGAGACGCAGGACCATCACCGTCCGAGGGTACCGGCCCAGTAACGGAAGCTCGGAGCTTGACAGAGTTACCCAGAAGGAGGGTGATTGACAGAATGGTGGTCACGCAGATCTTCATCTGTGAAGAAAACAAAATCGAGGAGAAATAAAGAAATAATGATCGTACATAAAGTTAAGAGTTTGCTAAGAAACATGTATGTCTTCATAATAATTTGGAGGATTCTTTTTTTCAGAGAATGTGGTCGGCGTAATGACAGTGGCCTACAGTTTTATGAAAAGGTGTTTTATGAAAATGTGGCAATCCACATTATTGTGCTTGATATTATATTGCCCGCCGATAAAAGTTAGGAGAGGAAACCGAGTTACATCAGATTTTTGTGGGGACGGTGCGCCCTTTCCACGGTCATGATAGAATCAAATAAACATCATCACACCGACCTCGAAGGTTCGTTCTTGAAGACTTGAGGATCAGGTCCAAGAAGAGATCACAAGCAGTTCGGTGTGGGCTGAAAAAAATAACAAGGAAAACCGGTAACGTTTATACTTGAGTAAGGAATGAAATAATGCTATCATGGGTTTGAATGAAATTGTGAGGTTTTTTTTTTTCATACTGATAAATCATCATTCGAAAACAGGAACAATTACACACTGATAAATAAAGGACAAATTATCATTTGAACTGTATTTTTCTGGCCGAATACCTCCAGCAAAACAGTATGTTTTAGCCTAATGTGGCTAAGTGAAAAAAAGACAGATTTTTTTTCTATTTATAATTATTGGCCAGTTAATTGTCGTAATCACTATGTGAACATAAAAATCTCTTCAAATCTCTTTTCGCCAATACGATTGACGGTCAGTCGTCAATCTTTGGTATCTGTATCTCTATTTTATTTCTTTTAGTTCTCTGATTTTTTTTTAAAGTTGGTAAATTGTATGTAGGCATACACAAAAAGGATTTTTTTCCGGAGAACCCGGTGACGATATGACGAGTAATCTGCCTTTCTAAAAAGAAAGATGCAAAATCTTAATTGACAGTCTTTATATACAAAATTGCAAGTCTTGAATGACTTTAAGTGATTTAGGAATTAGCAAAACTGTTTTTATTTGAAAGCACACAATTAAATTTGAATTTAACGAATTCAGCCGGAAACCCCACATTAATGATGGTCTTTAAATAATCTTTATGCTTCAAACAGATTTCATGCTTCAATTATGATTTCTAAGCAACGATTGGCCATTTGTCACGGTTTGACGGTGGTTGTAGGGGAGGGGGATCCCTCACTTCTTTAAATATCACTGTCGCACCTTTGTTTGAATCGAATGACGTTTCCTGTTTATAATGGTGACCAAAACGTTATCGGTGCATTAACAAACACAGTCTTCCGCCAAAATACTATGCTATTACGCTAAATTGAGAGAAAATGTACAATAAGAACTATACTCACTTGATGTAATGTTCTTCAATTTTATCACGAAAGAAATCATCAACACGTGAACAGATTGCTGGTGGAAAATAGTACCAATTGATGAAAATGAGTTATTGAGTTATTTTCTCCATTCATATGGAAAACCGATCTGATACCAGTGAAGTATAGTGGAGGAAATATTACAGGTGGGCCACTGCAGTTAAGCTACAGTCGTTACAAAAAGAATTGTTTCCCCGGTGGTGGAAAATCAGCGCACCTGTTTGGCTATTAGCATCAGCCACAATCTGTTTGTCAACCACGAATGTGTCTCGGAAAATCTTTCAGGTTTAAGAAAATCTGTACTATTATTGCAAACCTTAAACACTGAAAATATTGCTTTTTTAACAAGATATTTAACAGAATCTACGTGACATTCTCAGTGAAACCCTACAGGCAAACTGATTTCATCTGAAAGCTGGTGCTTCAAACGTTGAAGTCGGACAGCAGAACAGACGGCCCGAATAATTTGTACGAACATCAACACTTTACATGATTCCTAGAAATGAATCCAGCTGGATAAAGCAATTTGAACTTGAATAAAGTTTGATCATAATCCGGTCCGTTCGTATGTGCGCCTTCTAGTCTATTCTGACCAGTGACACTTTTATCACGCAATGTTTAAAAGTAACTCTTAGGCCTATACGTGTATTGTGATTAAACCGGAATGGCGCACTGTGAACTATTGAAATGACACAGTTTAAAAACAAAGCGCAAAAGGTATTGAGATTATCCCAATTTTCAATAACACAGCATAGGACAGGATGTTTGAGATGTCCCGATTTCCTTTATACGTTCTTCAGTGGCCAACTTCCGCATAACCTTTTATCCTGAATTGGTAGGAGTGATTGCCGAAAATTAAGATCGCATCGCATCGGGATTTTATGTCTGATACAATAAACAGGGTAAACTAGCAAGATAAAGGGGGTGATTGATTATACTGATGTTATGGGTCAAGTGTCGAGCTTTCGCAAGATTTCTTTCTAAAAACAAAAAAAAGAGAGTTTAATTTCTCATCGGAAATATTTTGTTAGTTCGTGAACTTCAATAACAATAAAAAAGTTGATGTAATACACACTTGAAAAACCTATAGCCAGGTTTGACTCGAAAACTGTCGAATCTGAATGACAATAAAAACTTTAAAACTTCCATGAATTTATAGTGTTGTTTGTCACTATTCAGTATTTGGGTAACTAGTGTGCGTCGAGAGTGCACCATGTAAGAAGTAGTAGAAATATTGTTAAACAGGAATTCCTTTTCCGAACAAATATAAAAAAAAGAAAACAGTTTTTTGTTCTTTAATAGCTTTTATTGCCTGAAAATTTGGCATCACAAAATGTTGATCTGAATCCGCATCAACTGTTCAGACTAAGAGCTAATTCAGCTATAGTCTATACAACATAATACCTGGTTATGATTCAAGCCCAATATCGATATGCTATCGAGTAACCGTATGGAAACAGGATCAACATGGTCGGAAATATTTATATCTCGCCGTTTTGGCTATAAGCAAATTCGTGTCAATGTCATATATCACAAAAGATCAATCCCAAAGTTGCAGAATTATCGTAAAAGACTGTTTCAAACACTCACCGTGCAATTCTTGTTCGATCTTGCAAACAGTTCTCTCGGGTTGTCGTCTAAACGTGGACATGAGCTTCGGTCGTTGTGAGGAGTGAGCCGGCAGCTTGTGACTTAAATATTGACGTCGATTTCCCGAGCAGAGACTGAGGAACAGACTTGCAAGCCCGGTTTGTGATTAGCCCCTGCGCGCTGTCAATCACACATCACTGACTCGCTTCATATCGTCGCATATCTGACGAAATGACGAATCGGTCATTTTGGAGTTTTTTTTATTAATTGAGTTTTATGGTTAAAAATATTCGAATTTTCAGATTTTTAGGTTTTTAATTCATGAAAACACTTCATTTTTGTTGTTCCGAAACCCACTAAGTGACGAATCGGCACATATCGGAAAAACTTTGTCTTGCGAACTGACGAATAAATTATTCGACGCTTGGTCATATCAGAACAGCGCGCATCCAGTATCTGACGAAGTGACGAATAACCCGTTATTCATTGGTTACGCACACACCCGTCTTAATAATTGAATGGCGTATGAGGGAACCAGGGATCTTCTGTTTCGCGCGCTTTCCGTCAGCTTTCAAAACAAACTAACGGCGCTGCAACATTATAATGATGACTAAAAAGAGATAACCGTTACTACTTCACCTTTATGTAATTTTGTGTATGTAGAGTTGTAATCCTAAAATGAACGGAGTACAAAAGTACCAGGCTAGGACTGCGCGACGGACAGGCTTATACAGACTGGGATTCATTTAAAACGTGCGATATACTTTCCTTCAAAACCGGCGTTTTATAGGAATTCCACAAAAGGTCTACCGCATTTCAAGAAAATCTCGAAAACGGTCCCCTTTAAGTGGCCAATATGAGCTGAAAACCTCATTTTAATCAGCCCATACTGAAATGAAGTGCCTCCTAGGGGATGAAAATTAGGATATTTTTTTTTTAAACTTGCGGTCCACTTTCTTTCATAAACGGCGTTTCATAGGAAAGCATTATTACTGCATTTCGACGGAGTCCATTTAAGCGGCTACTTAAAGCAAAATACATTATTGGAATAAACCAATACTGAAATGAAGTGCACCCTAGAAGGTGAAAATAGGATTATTAAATAAAAATATTATTTATTCAAAACATATGCGGTACACTTTCTTTAAAAACTGCGTTCAATGGGAGACCCGAAATACTGCATTTCGAGATATTCTCGAAAATGGAACCCCTTAAGTGGCTAATTTGAGCATAAGACCTCATGGGAAAAAGCCCACAATGAAAATAAAGAGTGCCCAGGAAGGTGATACTTAGGATGATGACATAAAAATATGTTTTATTTGTAGATTTTCTTTCAAAGACGGCATTTTTAAGGAAACCCGAAACACTGCATTTCGAGATATTCTCGAAAACGGAGCCTCTTTAAGTGGCTAATTAGAGCAGAAAAACCTCATTGGAATGGGCCTATACTGAAATAACGTGTGCCCTAGCTGTTGAGTGATGTTTAGGATAATGAAATAAAAATATAAATTATTTCAACGTGTGCGGTACACTTTCTTTCAAAGACGACGTTTTATAGGATACCCAAAATTCATTTCGAGATACAGGTTTTGTATTCTCGAAAACGGAGCCCTTTAAGCGGCTAATGAAAGCAGAATGCCTAAGGATAACAAGCCGTTACTGAGATTATTGTACCCTAGAAGACAATAATTATGGGATTTTGAGACAAAACTGATTGTTTTTAAAACAATTGCTGTCTTACATGAATGAATGAATGAATGAATGAATAAATAGTGTTGTTCGTTGTTAGTTCGCATTCACAGTTTTGTGTTCCTACTATTTTGTTGCGTCCATTCGAGATATTTTCCTTTTTTAATAACTTTTTTATTAGGCTACTGTATATTATTAAAACATTATAGCAAGTACTTGGATTTGAACGTGGGGTTTAAGTGTTACCATATTTTTTCCTTAAAAGAAAATAGAAAATGTTTGTAAAACAAACACATTTCTTTGAAAATGCGCGTAGTGTTGTAAAGAAGTGACGAATATGCAATGGATTTGTGAAGCAAACACGCGCGCACAG